TGATGCGCGACGTGGCGCTCGATCCCGGTCCTTCAGTCCTGCCGGCCGCCGCCCCCAAAGCCCCCCACCTCCCCCTTCCGCCAAGGGCCGCACCCACGACACCCCACCGCCGCACCCCTCCTGCTTTTTTGTCCGCGCCTTGGCACGCACGCACTGCCGCGCACCCGCCGTCGCAGCCACCGCCCCGCATGGCACCCAGACGGCAATGACCGTCCCCCTAACCGCCTCACAATCGCACTGATCCACCCGCCCGCGACAGGAGGCCCGCCGCAGGGCGCCCCCATCCCACCCAGCCGGCAGCAAGCCCCCACGCGCGATGGCCAAGTTCGGTGTCCAGACGCACAACGCCTTCGCCCTGCTGGACGACGACGATGACGCCGACCTGGACGCCCTGGTGGCGCGCCGCGCGGCCATGGCATCCGAGGCCGAGCCCGAGAAGGGCGCCGATCCCCCGCCGGCCAAGCAGCCCCCCCGCGACGGTGCGTAACGGGCTCCCCCCTACCCCTCCCCGCATGCAGTGGCCCCCACGCTACGCTCTTCGTCGATTGGCTGATTGATTCATTCCTCCGCGCTTGTGGGTTCGTGGCGGGGGGGACTGATGGGGATGATGCGTTGTGTTTGTGTTTGCAGCTGGGCGGGGTGAGGACAGAGAGTTGAGAGGGGGGGTCGGCCGCGGCAGGGGGCGGTCCGGCCGCGGCAGGGTTGGCCGGGGCGGGCCTGGGAGGGCCGGCCACGAGCGGGCACCCGATGAAGAGGGCGGGGTTGAGGGGGATGGGGCCTACAGAGGAGGCAGGGGGGGTCGAGGTCGCATGGGAGGGGGCAGGGGCAGGGGGCGTGGCCGCGAGGGGGGCTACCGGGGCGGCAGACGGGAGTACGACAGGCACGACGGCACCGGCAGAGGGTGAGGGGGTGTTGAATTTCTCTTTTTCTCGGTGTGGGGATGGGGATGGCGGCCGGGGGGAAATGGGTGGGCGGCGGGGTGGGTGGGTGGGTGGGTGGGGGGATGCGGGGAAGGGGGTGCGGGCTGTCCGCGGCTGGCCACCGGGGCGCGGGGGGTTGGGAGGCGGGGTGGGAGGGGCGTGGCGCAGAAGGGGCCCGATCGGTGGCGATTGCATTCGGGTGGGCGGGGATCGGCGCGTGTGGTTTGGGCGGCGAGCGTTCGCTGGGCGATCGCCTTTGTCGGGAGACGGGCGGGTGTGGCCGGAGGCATGTGAGGCGCCGTGCCGGGAACGGGGATTTGATTTGGCCCCCCGCCTACCCTCTCGATGCCGCAGTCGTGACGCTCCGTGACTGTGCTGACTGTGCTCGTGGCGCTGTGCCGCAGCCACGAGACCGAGAAGCGCGGCGGCGCCGGGAAGGGCAACTGGGGCGCGCCCGCGGAGGACCCCACCGGCTGGGAGGTGGAGACGCCCGTCAAGGGCGGCTGGGGGGACGATGACTTCGGCCAGGCGAAGGCATACCAGAACGGGGAGAGCGGCGCCGCTGCGGAGGCCGCGCCAGCGTATGTTCAGCTCTGGAAAGGGGGCTGGCCCCTTCCCCCCTTAAATTCGCCCTGTTTTCTGTTGTTTGACGTGCGTGAATGTGTGCTGGTTCTTGGAATCAGAGCCTTTTAAGCTTTTTGCTCAGTGTGGTGCTAGGAACCCTAGCTCGTCTGCAGGGGAGAATGCCTATGTTGTGACATTTTTCTTTGTGGAGAAGGGCCCATTCCTTGTGCGTCCATGTGAAGTCCTGTGTTCACTGGGGTGATCATGGAGGGTGGTGTGGACTGGGCAGAGTGAACGAGGCCAAGGAAGGGGATGGAACTGATAAGCCAACTGAGGGCGCAGAACCTCCTGCCGAGGCAAAGGAGGAAGAGAAGGAGGTGTGAGGGCATACTGCAAGTGCTCTTGCTGGGTTTGGTTTTTGCTAAGTTCATGTCTTCCACAGTTTCCAGTTGTCATATCTCTTATCCATTCTAATTGGGTGGGTTCTGCAAGTTGTGGATTTGTGTTTACACTTGTTGCTCCAACATGTGCGTGATTTTGAATGTAGTGTTCCAGGGCTAAAATGGTTGCAAATTTGTTGAAGAAATGGTTGCAGTTGCACTTGCTGTGGGTGCCATTGTGTGCTGAGGAACTTTCTAGTCTCTGGCACTTTTGGAAATGCCACACTCTGCGGCTACTTGATGTGTCTAAGGTTCAGATACGTTGTTGGACCTGCTGCAATATTCTATTGCATGGTTGTTCTAGATTTGCAGCAGCTGCCCTGCTTTTGCTCTGAGGCTCATGTTTTAGGCCGATTTGGACATGTATTTATTACCTGTGTGGCCTTGTGCTGGCTGTAGACTTTGACGTTGAAGGAGTACGAGGAGAAGGTCCTCAAGAACAAAGCTCTCACCAATGTTGTGCAGCGTCCTGAGGTGGACATGGGGCAGTTTGAGGGTCTCACTGTGTATGAGAGGGCTGAGGCAGAAGCAGGCATGGATTCCATGGAGCTGCCCAAAACAGCTCCAAAGCGGACCAGGAGCAAAGGAGCAGACAAGAAGGGGAAGAAGGAGGTGAGTATGGACTTTTAGGTGACATACCTGTGTTCTTAGTACTAAAGTATGCTAGAGTTTATGTTGTGTTGAATATGTAATCGCAGCCTGGGTCACAGCTGACTGCAGGAAGTTGAGTTTGTGGTGTTGTATTTCATTGTTGGCTGTACGCAAGATCACTGCCAGTGCTTCGGCAGCCCCAGTTTGTCATCACCTGTTTTATCAACACCGGGGATGCTGACTCCCCTTGTTGACACCTTGGGCTTGTTAGTTGAGTAGCAGCTTGCAGCTGCTGAGCCCAAGTAGCTTCAGGCCTTACTGCCACCAGTCATCTTGACTTTTGAGGGCAGACAGCAATGGTGACTATTCCTAATGTGGGCCCCTTGTTTCCTCATCCCCTCCGTATGCTCGATCCGTCACGTTTGCCCCTGCGAAGGTGGTGCCAACTGGTTTCCGCATTGGTGAGCCCATGCGTCATGGGGGCCGTGATGGCCGAGGCCGTGGTGGCCGCGGTGGCAGATTCGACAGGGACTCGCGAACCACTTCCGGCGGTGACGAACTTGCCCTTGAGGGAGGGGAAGGCGAGGAAGGCGGTCCCAGCGGATATCAAGGAGGCAGGGGTTATGGTGTCTATGGTGGCGACCATGCATACGGAGGCTATGGTGGTTATGGCAGAGGCTATGGACGTGGGCGTGGACGCGGACGCGGACGTGGCTATGGAGGCACCTTTGAGCACAAGCAAGAGTCGGTGGATATGGCAGACACATCCGCATTTCCTTCCCTCACAGCCTAGGGTGGTGGCAGGGGACGCGATTTTGCGTTGCAGGATGTGGTGGTGTTGGCAGCTGGGTTGGGGACAAGCTTATTGGGGTTTTCCGGATATGGGGTGTGGGTGTCTGAGCTGCTTGTGTGGATGGCCTGGGTTCAGGACCTGCCATGCACTGACAGACATGCTGTGGGGGCCCTGGACTTGGTCTGTGGTTTTCTGAGCATACTGCGTTCACAGTGTGTATGCTGTTTTTTCTCAGGGAAGTCAAGCATGTTTTGTTGAATCGCTGTGGCTGGCATCACGCTGACATGCTTATCTGCCTGACCGTTTTTGCACAGTTGGAGAAACCTCAGCAACAGGTGCCATGGATCTTGGCCAATGGGTGCTTTGCCGTGTATGTGCGTAGCAACTGATTTTCTTGTTTGTTTTGGGTCACTGTTTGAAGTCTGGGATCGTAGGGGCAGGTCGGGGAATGCTTCAGGGGCGTGTGAGCATGAGAGATGGCTCGGGAATAGAACAGGAGAAGTGCCATGCGCGAACCGCAATTTTGAACGCGACTCGGCTGCTATGGGTGCGCAAATTGCGAAACTGGGTACCTTTAACGGGTTTGTCACGCCTCCTCAGGCAGCGCCATGCGTTCCAAACGAGACTTTATCTCTGGGGAGTATGTATTCTTGGGAGTTTGTCAGAGGTTGTCGCTTATTGTACCCTAACCAGTCAGGGGCTTGGTTTTACGGTTGCTATGGGGCTCTGTGCAATCTTGACACCACGTTGACATTGTTTAGAGCAGAAACAAAATTTTGGACAATAACGAATCCGTCGCTGCTCCTGGATCCCAGGGATCTTTGGTGCGGTGTAGGCACATTTGCTTTGATGCCCCGCAGCTGGAGTGTTGTGTTGTTGTTTCAGTGGCGAGGGTGTCAGGGTTAGGGTAATGGGGGATGGGGGGGGGGGGGACTCGGCAGTTTTACCCTTTTAACGTCTGTAACAATTCTCACTTGGAACGAAAGAAGATGGTGGCCTGCCCCAAGTCTTCCATCAAAACTGTTCGCAGCCTTGGCTCGCTGTCACACTGCTGTATGGTGGCGTCAAGGCAACCCTTCCCTGACGCTCTCAAGTCTCCCATCACCTGTGAATAAGTGAAAATTCTATTCAGAATAGAATGAATGAACTATGCAGAATTCGCAACAACAGAGTATGAGATAGGAGAATATCCTATCTCGTAGTCTGGTGTTGCGAATCCTGCTGGTGAATGGCCATGATCCATTGCTGACCTCAGACATACAGCCGCCAGTTGGCACAACGGTGGCCACATACAAGCGTGTGATGGCTTCGTCTCAAGGCCAGCTTTTAAATTAAGAGCGAGGCACATCTGCCATCTACCACAGTGATTTGGAGCCTATCAGCACAAAATAGTGGCCCCCTACAAATTGACGACTCTTTTTGCGCTTCCACGGCCCACACTCTGGAGGAGTCATGACCGCCCTCAGGAATTCCTGACCTGTGTCCCCCACCCACCTACATGCTCACACATGATAATGATTTTTGCTCTCCCATTCACTTGGTGTCCATCAATATCGTATGCCAGTGATTTCCACCAACACTTGTGCACAATCGTTTTGCTGGTAGTTAAACCAGTACAACACCATTTCTGCCATACCAGTCTCCTTCAACCCCCCCCCCCCTTTAAGTGCCCTTCGCTTCGCATAGTACTCAATGCCACCCTGATGGTGACTCAACCCTGAGTCAGCTCCCCCTTTCCCATACTCAACTCTCCTTCCCACAGCGAACCTAAACTCACTCTATTAGGGTGGGCCGGGTGGGTGCGAAACAAGATAAGGAGGGTACCAAAGGTCGCGCCTAAAATGGCCGCTCCCACTCGCCGCCAAACTCCCTGCCAAACCCAAGGGCCATCTTGACCAGTCCCCTTGTCTACGCCCAAGGTACAAGGTTCACCCCAACTGCCCTTGGATCCGTTGGGCAGAACTGACCCCAAGTATAGGGGCTGACAGAAACTCACCGTGTGATGGCCCTGCAACCGTCCCAAGCGGCAGAACGGCCCAGACTGGCCGTTGCGCACCCACCCAACGTCGTCCTTGGCAGAAACTCATTAACAAGATAGTTAATTATATGACTCACCCAGAGTGAACCATTAATTCCTATACGAAACTCCCTCTCCATACCCCACCTGAACTGAAAGTCCCCACCTGAACTGAAAGTCGCACTTCAAAGGGATGGGGCGTGTTACACCACCCCGCGGGCACCCGTGGGGGCAGCACCGCGGGGTGGGCGCGCCCAGGCTCTGCGCCCCGGGCGAGAGAGACGGTTTGGCCAAAGAGTTCTTACAAACAGACAGTACAATGTTATATCAGTCCAGATTTAATTAATTGTTCACTTATATGATGGTGGGCCCATTTGACTCTCAGAAAGTACATGAACGTAAATCCCAACGAGGAGAGAAAACATCATCTACCCCACTCCATCCAATACACCGAGACCCAATAGCTACATGTTGTGTCCCAAGGTCCCCAATGGTCAAATATTCACAACATCACTTCCCCCCTTGGAGAAACGGCTGACCCTAGACAGGAGAACCTCAAAGGAAACACCACATCACTCCGTCCCATACCAGAGTGGCTACCATTAGCCCCAGTACAAAAGATGAAGCAACTCAAAAAGAAGAAAAACTCCCTAGAAGAAACAGAAACAAGGTCTTCCGGCACCAACATGGGCTCATATATGACCGGTCTGCCGGCGCGGCTGCAAACTATAGAAACTGGCCCCGGATCGGCGCGCCGAACGTGACACCGCAGCAATCAGAATCCCAACACCAGCCGTACCCATCCCGACAGATCACGCGGCCGGCCCGGTAACTCCCAGGTGACACCCACTTGCTTTGTTTCTTCTCTCTAATCCAAGACCACTATCTGGCTACAAACAGTGATCTGGCGCAAGAAATCTCCTAGAATCAAGAGATACAACCAACTAATACAATCCAAGCGCCTAGATCGCCTCAGTGGCCAGGTACTCCTCCTAGCACACCTGAATGGAGGCTCAAAACTCCGTCGTCTATATGCCTCCGGATCATATCAGTCGAACGTCCTCTTTTTCCCTCAACCATGCAAAACAGCGTTGGTAATTCTGTCTGCAAACGACTCAGCTCGATATGGTAGCGTTCTTTCTCTAGAACCTTGAGGGTGGGTGGATCCTCCTATAATCTGGGAGGAGAGTCCAAAGTCACAGCACTAAGGAGAACACCTCAGTGAATCGCCCAACTGGTGCCACATTCCACAGTAAACAACTAATGTATTGAGGGCGAACTTAAGATCACTTATGACCTATGTCTCCTTCCTACGTTTCAATCCGTGTCCAATAATGACTAACGCCGTAAATAAAAGCAACCACCACGTGCATCATGAAACAATGCTACCCCATCCTACTACCATTGCTCGTACAGCCATTCTGAGTACAATACACCCCTGCTGCAAAATGGTGGACGAAAAGTGGTTGCCTCCCTAAGGCTATACAGTAGGGGTCCCTATATAGCGCCCCCCCCGTGACATGGCCACAAGGGGGGCGCTATTGGGGGCCGGGGCGCTATTGGATCAACTTTGTTTTAATGCATTTAATTATAGTTTTAATCAATACGGGCTCATGTAATAACATGTTGGCACTGTGGCGGCGCCTGGCGACGCCGTCAAGTGGCAGTGCACTGGCGCAGCAGCGTGGCAGCGTGGCAGTGTGGCAGCGTGGAGGTGTGGCAGCGTGGCAGGGTGGCAGCGTGGCAGGGTGGCAGCGTGGCAGGGTGGCAGCGTGGCGGGGTGGCAGCGCCGTAGCGTGGTGGTGTGACAACGTGGCAGGGTGGCTGCGTGGCGGGGTGGCGGCGTGGTGGCGCAACAGCGTGGCGGCGCTATTGTGATCATCGCAGGCGAGCGGTGTGACAACGTGCCAGGGTGGCAACGTGGTGGGGTGGCAGCGTGGCAGTGCGGCGGCCTCGCAACGTGGCGACGTGGCAGTGCAGCGCAGCAACGTGGTGGCGCAGCAGCGTGACGGCGTTGTTGTGATCATCGCGGGTGAGCGATGGCTGCACAATTGGTATGCCCAGTCTGCCGAATCAGTGCAGGGGTCAGTGGCGTTCATAGTTGCCTTGGCTGCAATGTTCCTATGCATGCATGGTGCGGATCCTGCTCATGTGGCAAGGATTTGCAAGGCGGAGGCTGTTGTTTGAGGCGCTATTGCACAAACTGTCGGCCAGTGCGAGTATCAAAGCGCCCAATGCGGAGATCTGCTGTGATGCCCAAGCAACCAATGAAGAGCTTTTTTGATGACGATGAGGGTGACTACGATGATGGAAGCCCCTCTGACCCGGATTTTATGGAAGATAGAACTTCAAACAGTGATGGGGATTTCGGCAGCGACATGGAGATAGATTTGTCTGATGATGACGAGAGAGAAAGGGCAAGAGCTGGAGCACATGAACATGGTGGGTTGCATTCAGCTATCTCTGCAAATGCAACGATGGTTGTTGTCCCTGATGCAGTTCCAGCTGGTGGAAGTTCTGGTATCAAGATTAGCAAAAAAAAGTGCAGGCACGTGCACCACAAAGGACCAGATTGACTTTGGAGAAGAAAGTTGAAGTGTATCGGGCTGCGCTCAAATTCGAAGGCCAGGGCAGTAAGGCCAAACTTGCAGAAATGTTTAACATTTCTGTGACGTGCTTGAAGAATATCAAAAGGCAAGGTCCTATGTTGGCTAAAAAGCTGGAGCAAAGCAACGCCAGAAGCACCAGCAAGGCACTCAGGAAAACTTCTTTGCCTGATATTGAGGGTGGGGTGATACAATACTTTGAACTTGCTCGAAAGCATGGGATGCCAGTGACAAGGAGGTCGCTCAGGTCTATGGGCGTTGCTGTGAAGGAAAAACTTCTTGCCGTGGGTGGGCTAGAGGAACATGCACGTGTGGCATTGGAGACTTTTTCTGCATCAGACAAATGGGCTCGGAATGTGATCAAGCGAAATGGACTT